AGTTAAGAAAGCTTATTCAGTCAAACACATAAAGTGAATAAATTGATCCCCAGGGGTGTTTTTAATAAAGAGTTTGAAAACTTAAAGATCAGTATAATTTACTTTCCTTTCGAAACCTTAAAATTCCCATGGCATGGCATACTTTGGGGAGGTAAGTTCTCCCATAACAAGAAATGATGTAACCATTTCTGGAAACTCTAATCCAAGTAAAGAAAAAGATTCATTTGTTTCAGGGTGGAATCTTACCAGGTTCTTGGGAGGATTAAGAATAAAACCAAGTACCTCCTAGACAGTCTGATCTCTTCTCTGTGCAGCAGCAAGGTAGGGCTGGCAGGATGGGTGAAATGCTCAAAAGCACTCGAATCTCAATTCCATTTTAGTTTTAATCTTTTTGTCATCTTTAAAGAAGCAAAGGAACTCACAGGATTTAAGTTTAGATAAATTTTAACCCATTTCATTTTTTTCTTTTAAGCAATTCACAGTGAATTAAGAGGTTGCATAAAAAATGCAAATGAGTAATAATTAAAAATAAATTTACCTGGTTCTCTTATACCAGAGCATAAATATTTAGAGCTCTGCACAAAACCAAGCAGAAAGTCACGTTCTGAAAGAGTCACGAAGAGAGTAGGGTCAATTTATATCCCTCTTCCCATTGAGAGGACCTCATTTTTTCCTCCCCCTTATCAGTAGAATAGCTGTGTCCCGAACAAGAGAGAGACTGGACCACTCAGGCCAGGTGTGCTGCCATCGTGGGGCTATTGCATTGATTTATGAGCATCACACTCAAAGCCCAGAATTTGAAGGATGATGAGAGGGCTATCACTGGGAGCTGAGTTAAAAAAATGTGTGGGAACTTCTGTCCTTGAATAAACATGGACACTATAACACTATCTCTTAAGCATCATCACTTTCTTTGTGGTCAATAGTCCATTCACTACTGTAAGTCCACATGGACATTGCCAGATTTGATATCCCAGACTGAGTGTGCAGGAGTAGACATGAGTGACCTAAGGTTTATTCCTTGAAGTGCCACATTGTTGGAAGTATAGAGACTTTGTACTCAAGCAGGGCATTGTGTTAAACACAGAGCACTCTTATGGAATTCTAGCTCCCAACTTAGGTATTACCTCCATTCACACAACCGCAATACTTCCTGTTACAATGGATGGTAAAATGTTTCTTACCCAGATTTGTGTCGAAAGCAAATGAGATGCCATTTATAAAACATTTGGCCCTGAGTTTGGTAAACCTTGAATATTCTAAATGCTGCTTCTTGTCTCACCTCAA